GGGATACTGGGGGGGTTAATTCATTATACATGGGGGGTATAGGGGATACTGGGGGGGTTAATTCATTATACATGGGGGGTATAGGGGATACTGGGGGGGTTAATTCATTATACATGGGGGTATAGGGGATACTGGGGGGTTAATTCATTATACATGGGGGTATAGGGGATACTGGGGGGTTAATTATTGTGATGGACCGCTTGCCACCCCGACTGGGTGACTCCGCCAGTCACTGCTTCCTATCTGTTGCGGAGTACCATAAGCACCACACCGGACACCATATCCCCTTAGCTACCGCAGCTTGGCTGGGGTCTCGCCGTCCCTTCCCACCATGGGCCAAACTCCTGGATCCAACTCCCAGTGGGAAGGTCTCTCCTCCAAGAGAGTAAAGCAGTGTAGCTCTTATAAGAGCTGGTGATTATAGTTGGTATAGCTGTTCTCTACAATCACGAGACAAGGCTCTGTGTTGAGGGTGAAGATTAACTGTTTAATGGCAGCCACAACTGGCCATATATGCACACTCCCCCTGGACCTGAGAGAAGACTACAGTAAAAACATTGGCTCTCAGGTCCAGTGCACTCCCATACAAAATGGGTAAATACCCTTCCATGTGCCTGGGAGATATGTTTGTGTACTCCAGTAATTATCTCTCAGTACAAGGTTCAGGGGTTCGGGATTTCCATGTAAGTCATAATTTTGACCGACCGTGCATATGCCCAAAACAGTTCCATAAATCACATACGTTTTTAAAGGACCCATAGTCTTTTGGCAGGAGGCTGGCAAGAGGGCCCCTCCAAGAACATGTAGCAGAATCATTTCTGCCACACATCTTCCCCCCCCTCCCCCCAAGGTAAGACTTACCAGGTACCTGACCTGCTGCCGGTCGGTACCTCAGTTAGTCAGTCAACCCACCCAAAAACAATTAGTCGGCTAGGTAGTCTCCAGTGCCAGGCTCTGTCCTACAGGTCCAAGGCTGCTGAATGGGTGTCCTTCACCCCTGGTTTCTCTAGTACTCCCAGTCATAGCATTGTGGTTACTTGGTGGGCAGAGGCCAGCGGTACTGCTGGCTACTGGTCGTCCGGTCCCAGAACACATGGGCCGGTAGAGCAGAGGCCGGTGCTGCTCTGTCCTGTAGGTATTGCTTCTGCTGCAGGACTCTGCTGGGCGTCAGGCTCAACCATACAGGGACAGGTAAGGCAGAGGCCAGCTGCGCTCTGCCTTAATGCCAGTTCTTCTGCTGGGATGGCCTGTGTAATGTGAGGCCCTGATCAAAGGAAAAGGGTAGGGCAGAGGCAAACTGCACTCTGCCCGGATACCAGCGCTTCTGCTGGAGGGACCTGGGGACAGTCTGGTGCTGTGACAATGAGACCGGTAGAGCAGAGGCCAGCTGCGCTCTGCTCTGATGCCAGCTCTTAAACTGGAAGGGAGTTAGTGGAGACGGCCGCCCCTTCCACTACCCCAGGATCAGGTAGGTAATCTGGTGCTGATTAATTGCCTACCTCCTCCCCATGGTATTCCTGCTGTGGCTGTTGGGGATCTAAGTCGGCTGTCCAGCATCTCTGTGTGTCTGGTGCAGAGACCGCAGTCCCATCTGCACCATTGGGGTCAGGGGTGCTGTCCCCCTGTAGTTGGGGAAAGAAACCATTGTCTCCTCTCCGGCTGCTGGTAGACGGTGAGGCCGGTTGCCTCCACTCCCCAGGATGCTTTCTGCTGTAGGGTATAGGGACTGATCATCTCCTCTCCCTGTAACTCCGGCTGCCGCTGGGAAGCGAGACTGGTTGTTTCCTCTCGCTGCATGGTACACTGCTGCTGGGGAGTAGGACCGACTGTCCCTTCTCCCGGTACTTCCAGCTGCAGTTGGGGATATGGGCTGCCTGCCCAGCATCCCTGTAGGGCCAGTGGAGAGACCACTGTCCCATCTCCACCTACCAGTTGGGTTTCTCCCCACGACCAGTCTATAAGTTACCTCTGTAATTGAAAAGAGGGACTAGCTGTCTCCTTCTCCGGTATCTCCAGCTGCCGCTGGGGAGGGGGACTGGTTGTCTTCCCCTTCGGTAACGTCAGCTGCAGTTGGGGATCTGGGCCAGCTGCCCAGCATCCCTGTAGGGCTGGTGGAGAGACCTTGGTCCCATCTCCACCTGCCAGTTGTGGTTTCTCACTGGACCAGTCTGTAAGGTCCCCCGGTAATTGGGAAGAGGGACCAGCTGTCTCCTCTTCTGGTATCTCCGGATGCCGCTGGGGAATAGTACTCCCTGTAAGGTAAGCTGCCGCTGGGGAATAGTACTGACTGTCCCTACTCCCAGTACCTCCGTCTGTGATTGGGGATCTGGGCCGGCTGCCCAGCATCCCTGTAGGGCCGGTGCAGAGACCTCGGTCCATTCTCGACCTGCTGACTGGGGGTTGTTGTTGCTGGGGGGGTTCGAAGACAAATTGGAGATGCTGGGGTTATATGTATATGTACATGTTGGAATCATGTTAATTTTTCTATTTTCTGATAGCCTCCAAAAGAATTTAAAGTATGGAAGACAAATGCAGTCCCTCCACCTGAGTCATATGAGACAGAAGACAAGAAGGCTCCCCCTCCTGAGATGGATATGGCCATCAAGTGGTCCAGTATGTACCAAGATAATGGGGATGACGCACCTCACATCACAAGCTCAGCAAGGTTTCTACCAGAGGAAGAATCTCAGGAGAATGCCAGCGCGTCTGGTAAGCAGCATGGACCTTTATACATTGTGTCTGGCAAACGCCATGAGCCTTTATGCATTGTGCCCAGCAAACGGCATGGGCTTTTATACATTGTCAGATGAACATAGGATAGAGTTGCCGGGCACAAACAGGACACATTGCAAGCAGCTGAAGCTCTGTCCTATGTCCATCTGTGGTAGAATTGAAGCACAGTGAGGGCTCAGACAGCCGCATGGCCACTGGCCGGGCAGGATGCCATTCTTTACCTGTCCACGAACTGTTATAGGGGGAATACTCCTGTTGATGTTTGTTGGTATCTGTTTGGACTAGAGGGCACACGTTTTCATATGTGGTGGTAATGCATAAAAACAGTATTATTTTGGAACAAGTTACTAAATTTTTGTCTGCGCTTCTTCAGAAATGGCTTAATTTAGACAGTTTGTCCTGTTTTATTGTCCTGACCAATGGCTAATTTTTACTTAGTGAGAAAATAATCAACTTATGAATTACTGTCTGTGGTGGATCGCCTGGCACCCCAACTGGGTGGCTCCATTAATCGCTGCTTCCTAGTACCTCCGAGTACTCCTAAGCACTCCACCAGATACCATTAGCACCGTAGTCCCCACATCCAGCGTTACAGCTTGGTTGGGGTGTCCTCCACCCATCCTGGACCCAAGACCAGGACCCAGCTTCCAGTGGGTAGACCTCTCCTAAGCCAGAGAGCAGAGCAGGGTGTGCTTACAAGAGCAAGTGATTATAACCCAGGGTAGTATCATGATATAGCAATCCCCAGAGCAGATACAGCTGTTCCCCTCACACATGAGACGAGACTCGTAGGCAGGAACTCATTTATTGGCAGCCACAACTAGCCTTATATGCAGGTCCCCATGCACTCCCCACTGGACCTGAGAGAAGACTTCCGTAAAAACATACACACGATTACATTGGCTATCAGGTCCAGGACAGTCCCACACAAAACAAGATAATCCCTCCCCTGTGCCTAGGAGATAGTCAGGAACCGTAATAAACTGTTATCTCCAGGCACAGAAAACACACACATTACATCCTCTCGAATGTACCAGAACACATGGAAACCCCACCAAAGTCACATCCCCTGATAGCCCCGACCTGGGTGAACAACACATCCAAAAATCACCCAGATTGGTTCAGGGGTTTGGGATTTCCATGGAAGTCATAGTTTGACCGACCGTGCACAAGGCTCCTGCCCAAAAGAGTTTCATGAAGTCTGGCTGTGCGGTCAGTCTCTTTCGGGAGTTCACGATACAACAATATATATGAATAAAACTGTTTTGTATGTGCACTTAGTCTGTGTCTCTTGTTCGGGAGTGTTTCCACTGAACGCCACTCTTCTCAAGTAAATCCAGCCCAACGTACGAAGAGATGGAAATCCCAGCTCCGTTGAGTGTCCGATTTATGGTCCCATGCACTCGACGACCAAACATGTTTTACATGTTCGCGGCTAAGATCGCCGCCGCCACCACGTGTTCGGCTATACGAATGGCAGCCACCCAGCTAACCACTTAGAATGTTGTGGTTGACAAGGTGATGAAGGTTAATAAGCAGCACATGTTCTGGGTGGTCGGTTCGTTCGGCAGTTCGTTCAGTATACGAACAGCATTAGTCTAATCTGTTCGGTAAGCCCCATATAAGTTCAAAAGGCACAAACGGTGAATTTAACAAAGGTTTATTACAGGGGCCATAGTCCTGGGGCAAGAGGCTGGCAAGCAGGTTCCTCCAAAAGCCCGTGGCGAGGTTCTGTTCGCCACACTGTCAGCATCTCAGAGACGTGGCAGCTGAATATTCTGATTTTCCATCGATTTTTACATAATTAAACGAAAAGTATAACTCTATCTAATGAATAAATTAACAACACTTCATCATATACATATTTATTATATTTTCGGAGCAATGCAAGATTTATTTTTTTTAATCTTTATTACGTTTTTTCCTTTTACATACATATAACAAGACTTCTAAAGATAAAATTACATACAAACAAGTGAACATAACAGTAAAAAAAAGTGACCAGCGCGGAATCCAGACTGAAGGGGGTCAAGCAGTTGGATTCGAGAGTCTGTCAATCTGGTGTACACAACTCTCTCGAGGATCTTGGAGGCAAATGGCAGTAGCGAGATAGGGCAGTAGTTGGATGGGGAGTTGGGATCAAGGTTGGGCTTTTTAAGAATTGGGGCTACTGTTGCATGTTTGAAGGGTGAGGGAAATGTGCCAGAGGAAAGGGAGAGATTGAAAATGTTAGCAAGAGGGAGACAAAGTGCGAATGAGATGAAAGGGAATAGGATCGAGGGAGCAGGTGGTGGAGCGGGAGGACAGGAGCAGAGCAGAAACCTGTAGTGCTGTAGCAGGTGCAAATGAGCATAGGATGGCAGGGGGAGTGGGATTGGCTGATGTATTGATAGGGGTAGGAGAGAGATTAGAGATCTTTCCTGATTGTAGAGATCTTCTCAGTGAAATGAGATTCAAAGTTTGTGGCGGACAAGGTGGTGGAAGGAGGGGGAGTCACAGGGCGAAGAAGAGCATCAAAAGTGTGAAACAGGTGTTTGGGTTGATGGGACAGTGTGCTTATTAGGGTGTTGAAGTAGTTTACTTTTGCAGAGGAAAGAGCCATGCTGTAGGAGCGCAGCATAAATTTATAGTGGACAAAGCCAGATGCAAAGTGAGACTTTCTCCAGCAGCGTTCAGCAGTTCTGGAACATTTTTGGAGGTAACGGGTCAGCTTGGTGTGCCAGGGTTGTAGTTGGGGGCGCTTGCTGTGTTTAACTGTAGGAGGTGCCATGATGTCCAGTTGAGAGGAGAGAGTGGAGTTGTAGAGTGAGGTTGCAGAGTTAGGGCAGTTGAGATTTGAGATGGGTAAAAGGAGTGTTTGGAGTTTGGTGGAGAAGTGCTGGAGATTAAATTCAAACAGTGAATATATTTACGGGTGTCCTTAAAAGAACACCATTAACTGTGAGTAATGTCGATATCGAACTCTTTTTTTTTTTTTTTTCATTTGTCAATTATATTTAAAGGTTGTTGATCCAAAATAATTAACATGTTAGTGGCCTTAGTTTTTTTTTTTGTTTTTTTTTTTAATCCTAGTATGGCTAAAAATGCCTTGAATGAGTATCAATTTTTGGGGGGACTTTCAATAAAGCCGTATTCAGAAGATTTTTAATTCTCAGATACGTGAAAAGTTCCTTATTAGGGAGATTCAATTTAGATTTAATATTGGCAAAAGGTAAAATTTGGTCGTCTTGGAGGATATCTTTAATAGTCCATTGAAATTTGGACCAGTTTTTTTTTTTTTTTAAAGAGATCTTTTTTATATTATCCTCCAAAGCTGCCAAGTAACAAGTTTTGGTTATTTTATTAGAGATTTTTAATTTCTTTTTTTAATATTTCACATGCTCTAATAGTTTGCTAGAACTAGTGATTTCCTATTTAACTCATCGGTCACTTTTTGCTATTAAGCCTTAAGTATGCTTCTAATCTGTCCTTTCCAACAGCTTCATGGTATTTGATGGTATATCATGGAAAGAACTTTAGAACTTCTTGGGTTTTTTTATTTTTTATTTCCAGATAAAAGTTTGGAAACTAGATTGTATCATAGCCAACTGTCTGGCATTTGAAGAGGGATCATCCTAAATAAATATAACCACTTAGGAATGATATATGCATTGATAATGTTGATTCTGCCAGACCGGGAGGGCTCTATCAGGCGCCATTCTTTTAGTTTGATATTTGTATATTTCAAGAGGTTCAAAACATTTGTTTCCATATTATCTACTTGAGTTGAAATTATGACCCCCAAATAAAGACATCCTTAGACCATACAAAATCATACTTATCTCTTAAAGTACAGAGGGTGAAATTGTCAACCTTAGTAGTTACAGCAATTTATTTAGTTACATTGAGTTTATAATTGGATACTTTAGAATAACTTTTTATTATAGAACTTGCTGGAGAAGTAAGTGTTAATAATGTCGTCAGCATAAAGTGATATTTTTGCTTCTGACTTATTAGTAGGGAATCCCTTAATGTAATGGTTTGATCTGATATTCATTGCTAATGGTTCGAGAGTTAAATATAAAGGACATCCCTGCCGTGTACCATTTTTTAAATTAAACCAGTTTGAGAAGATATTAACGCCAACAGTTCTCGCTGTCGGTTCAGAATAAAGGGCCATAATGGCATTGTGAATCCAGCCCACAAATCCAAAAGAAGTCCGTACAGCGTCTAGGAAACGCCAACTGACCCTATCCAAGGCCTTTTCGGCATCTAAAGACAGGGTCAGTAATGGGAGCAATGCAAGATTTAAACTCTGGATAGGTCTGGTTGAAATGACAGAGGGATGTCCACACGTTCTTTTTCTATACATGCTGTAACGGATCCCCTATACTCTGAGTATATCCATTGAAGAGTCTCCCAGGTCCCGAAGTGAAGCAGGAATCCTAACTGAGCTACCCAAACATAAGCCAAGACTTGATGAAGGATACAAGATGAACTGATTTATTATGGCCAAGTTGCCTGCTTATATTCACAGCCACCAGCAGGGGTCTCCATTCAATACATGACAAGCCCCTCCCAGAGATCTGTGCCTGGGAGATAATTGCGTTAAAGACCGGTAAGCTAATTATGTCCCAGGAACAGAGAGACAAACCTAAAAATACCCCAAAACATCATTGTGGCAGAACCACTGCCTATTTGTGTGTTTTCGCCTGGTTTTACGTGTCTCCCCGTGAAATTTGTGTCCTATACCCCATTTCCCCGTTCAGGAGCATTCTTACGAATGGAACCCATTCGTCTCCCGAACAGGGACCACCCTGGTCCCCATTAGAACGTTCCCAACAATTAATTAAAACGTTCACACTTGCAACATAAGTGTGAAACCTCAAGGGAAGTAATTGAGTGCTCCCTGGGTGGCTTCCATTTCGAATAGACTAACCCCAGGGGGAGCATTCGTACCCCGAAAGGAGATGCTTCCTTTGCAGGTTTCAGCATAGGAACCTCGCAAATGGAGATTGGTCGGCAAATGTGCTATTGTGAGTTTGCCTGAGGTTGCTGGGGACACATTTGGGGCACTGGCTAGTTTGACTGGCTTTTCTGTGCCTGGAGGACAAAGGGTCTTTTTTCCCCACGTCTTGGCTTCCAGGCACAGAGGCTCCTGTGATGAAGACCCCCTGTCGTTCTGTGCGGGAGACCCCTCGTCTGAGACAGAGGAACAATTACTCTTGTCTTCTCTGGATTTCTTATTATTCTAAGTGGTTCCTGAGTGGCTGATATTAGCGGAGGTAACTGGTCAGGTTACCTGGGGTCTGCTACAATCATAAAAGTATACAATAACCCCTCAAATAAAACATCCCCAAATACCTCTGATCTGAGCACCCAAGTTCTCCATATAGTGCTCAGATCCATGCAGTGTAGGGGAAACGCTACAGTGTTAAACTACTGCCCGGCCGCACACGTGGTACTATGCCCAAATTGGTTTGGT